TTGGACAAAAATAACCTTATTAAATACTTTTATTTTTCAAAATAAATATTTATATATATATATTTAGATTCCGAAAATTCTAAAAAAGGAAAAAATATTATTCTAAAACATCGTTTAAGAAAATAAACATATTTAAATTTTATTTATTAATATGTTCTAGAAAACGTCTTCTACAATTCTAGTATTTTATAGAATTTATTTTCTAGTATTTGATATAAGATCCACCGAGTATAGAATACATACTCTACTATTTGTTTTGTTTTCTATAACATCGTGTAGAATACGTTATCTAGAATTCGTGATATATTCTACATATTATAGAATATATATTCTAGAAATCGTTATAAATTCTATGTTTTCTAGAATTAGACTTCTACTTATTTGTCTTCGTTCTAGTGAATATAAAATTCGTATTCTACTAAACGGTTATTAAAATCTGAGAAAATCTAGGATCAGATGTTATCCAACAAAAATTAAATATTTGAAAATATTTCATTTTTTTTTTGTTTAACACGTTTTTAACATATTTTTGAAGATTTTTTTTTCTTTGACGATATTTTCACGAACTCCCACACCCTAATTACAGTTTTATGTGTTTCTGTTCTGGTTATTCAATTATGGTGCATATCTATGTCATATGTGGTATATGGAGATCGATTCTCAATAAGGATTGGGTAATTGCTCATGACGGTGTTTATACTCTCCGAAGAAATCAAGCCGTCGCTCGATCGTGCTACATAAACGAATGCAAACTTCATTCAGCTAATCAAGCTTGTGTCATCAGTTCACTCGGACCGACGAACGAGCTTGTTGTCCAGCAGACAAAACCTAAGCAGGAGTCGATCGTTCAAGTTTGCATCGACGAACTAAGGCCAGAGCGTCAAGTCGGAATCGGCGCCAAGCTCGATCCAATCATCCGCGAGCCACTCATCACTTTCTGAAACAGCATTCGTCAACCTTCGCTTGGTCGGTAGAAGATATGCCCGGGATCGATCCACAGATCGTGTGTCATGAGCTCAACATCGATTCGACGTATAAGCCAATCAAGCAGAAACGCCGAAAGCTCGGACCAGAGAAGGCACAAGCCGTCAATGACGAGGTCGAACGGTTGCTTAAAGCAGGATCTATTACTGAGGTCAAATATCCCGATTGGTTAGCAAATCCCGTAGTCGTCAAGAAGAAGAACGGCAAATGGAGGATTTGCGTCGACTTTACCGATCTCAATAAGGCATGTCCAAAAGATAGCTTTCCTTTACCTCATATCGACCGCCTCGTGGAAGCAACTGCCGGAAACGAGCTACTCTCGTTTATGGATGCATTCTCCGGATACAATCAGATCCTTATGCATCCGCAAGATCGGGAGAAGACATCGTTTATCACGGACCGCGGCATATACTGCTATAAGGTCATGCCTTTTGGCCTGAAGAATGCTGGAGCAACATACCAGCGGCTGGTGAATCGGATGTTCGCAAGCCAGCTCGGGCGGACTATGGAAGTTTACATTGACGATATGCTCGTAAAATCGCTCGTCGCTTCCGATCACGTCGGTCATCTTCGCACGTGCTTCGATATTTTGGATCAGTATGGCATGAAGCTTAATCCCACTAAGTGTACGTTCAGCATAACATCTGGAGAGTTCCTCAGATACATAGTCACACGGCGAGGCATTGAAGCTAACTCAAAACAGATTGCAGCCATACTCGAGCTCCCGTCTCCGACAACCAAACGCGAAGTCCAACGACTCACCGGACGTATTGCAGCACTGAATCGATTTATATCCAGATCGACAGACAAGTGCTTACCTTTCTACCAACTTCTTCGCGGTAACAAACATCTTGAGTGGAATGAGAAGTGCGAAGAAGCCTTTGCCGAACTGAAGAAATATTTGTCTACGCCGCCATTCTTATCCAAACCCGAAACCGGCGAGACACTTTATCTCCACATCGCAATTTCAGAGTTCGCGGTCAGCAGTGTTCTTGTTCGAGAAGATCGTGGCGAGCAGAAGCCAATTTTCTACACAAGTAAATCCCTAGATGGCTCAGAGCATCGTTACCCGACTTTGGAGAAGTTCGCCTTTGCCGTGGTCATCTCCACGAGGAAGTTACGCCCGTATTTCCAGTCCCACTCGATCGTTGTCCTGACTGACTACCCTCTTCGCACCTTCCTCCATAGCCCAAGTCAATCCGGGCGACTCGCCAAGTGGGTCATTGAACTTAGCGAATATGACATCGAATACCGAGGAAGAACTGCAACGAAGTCTCAAGTCCGAGCGGATTTCTTGGTCGAACTCCCACCTGAGCTCGTCGAAGCTAATCCTGTCATACAACCTTGGATTCTCCACGCCGATGGTTCATCATCCCATAAGGGATCCGGAGTCGGAATTCGTCTCAAATCCCCCGAAGGAGAGGTTATCGAGCAGTCATTTCGACTTGGCTTCCCGGCATCCAATAACGAAGCCGAGTACGAAGCATTGATTGCTGGACTACGACTTGCCAAATGAATTGGTGCCGAGCACGTACACGCCTACTGTGACTCTCAACTTGTGGCTAACCAATTTCACGGCGAATACGAGGCCAAAAATGACCGCATGGACGCGTACCTCAAAGTCCTCAAGGATGTCGCTTCGGAGTTCTCAACCTTCGAGCTTACAAAGATACCTCGTGATGAGAACGCAACCGCCGACGCCTTAGCCGCTCTCGCGACTAATTCTGATCCCGATCTTCGGCGAACTATCCCAATCGCGGCAATCGAGCGACCAAATGTCGAGCCTGCTCCAAACTGTAACATCATTACACGAAGACGTGATTACGAAGCCCAGCCCAATCTCGCTCCACCCCTCACTCGAAAGACGAAACCCAGGGAGGTCGTCACCGATCTCAACACCAACTTGGACGAACAAGATGACACCGGATCTGATCTCGAAGATGAATCCGAAGGCCAACATATTCCAATCGACATCGAAGCCGAAGGTGAAGACGAGCCCGAAGATTGGACCTTAGAAATTGTGGGCTACATTGGAGATGGGACGGTCCCTGCAGATAAATGGGCAGCTCGACGCCTTAAGGCTCGAGCAGCTCGATATGTGGTCATTAAGGGCACTCTCCTCAGATGGGATGCTTCCGGCATACTCTTGACTTGTGTTCGCGGCAACGACATCATGGAAGTAATGCAGAAAGTTTATGAAGGAGAAGGAGGGAATCACTCCGGAGCTCGATCTTTGGCATTCAAGATCAAAAAAGCTGGCTACTACTGGCCTACTATGCTGTCTGACTGCGAAAAGTATACACCACGCTGCGAGAAGTGCCAACGACACGACCCAATGATCAACCTTCCGACCGAGCTCTTGATGACCTCGACCGCACCATATCCTTTCATGCGCTGGGCAATGGACATCATCGGTCCTTTTCGTCGATCTACGACTCAGAAGCAGTACGTTTTGGTCGTCACGGACTATTTCACCAAATGGGTCGAAGCCGAGGCGTACCCCGAGATTCATGGAATCGATGTCAAGAAGTTCGTCTGGAAGTTTATCATCTGCCGACACGGAGTCCTATACGAGATCGTTACGGACAACGAAACCCAGTTCACTTCAATAGTCTTCACAGATTTTTGCGTTAAGTGGAAAATCCGACTATGTTTCTCTACCCCGCGGTACCCGCAAGGAAACGGACAAGCCGAAGCCACGAACAAAACCATTATCGATGGTCTGAAGAAGCGACTCGATACCGCTAAAGGAACTTGGGCGGACGAACTCGATGGTGTCTTATGGTCTCACCGAACTACACCACGACGTTCAACCGGTCAGTCGCCATTCTACCTTGCATATGGTACAGAAGCTATGTGTCCAGCCGAACTCAACATCCCAAGTATTCGCCGAACCATGCTCACACAGCAACCCGACGCGAATAACAACATGATGCTCGACACAATCGATTTAGTCGAAGAACATCGCGAACGAGCATTACTCCGAATACAAAACTACCAACAACTGGCAGCTCGTTACTATAACAAGAAGGTCAAAGGCCGTCACTTTGAAGATGGTGATCTCGTACTTCGCAAGGTCTATCAATACACAGAAGAAAAGAACGCAGGAAAACTCGGCGCGAACTGGGAAGGACCATATCAAGTAATGAAGGTTGTTAAGCCCGGTGTTTATCAACTCATGAAGTTAGACGGATGGCTTGATCCCTTCAAAGGGTACGTAGGCAGCTCGTTATCGAGTCCAGCTATAACATCAATAAAGTTTATTAAGTCAGAAACGTCTAAGTTCTAGTTCGGAAATCACAAGATACCGAACTCCTTGTTCTTACATCGACTTCCTGGCCAGTTGTTCGATAGCATTCCACATGAATGCAAACTTAAAAAGCCAAGATCCGTCTCGCACGCACCCACATGGTGCCGTGGTAAAACCACATATCAAAAGCCGGGGCCAGTCCCGCAGTTAAATTTCTAAGTCACCAAGATCAATAAGTCGAGCACATCTCGCATACTTAGGTTCGACTTAGAAAGACCTTGAACTCGTTTCGTGCGTTTACAGGAGTTCGAATTATTTCACTCTTCCAGTACGACACGGTTCACTTGGGTTCCCCAGACCGAGTTCAAAACGCTCGCACAATAAGCCGAACTCCTCAGATTCGCACCGTAAGCCGAGTTCTCAACACTCGCAAAACGTAAGCCGAATTATCGCAATTTGCTATCGAAAGATAAAAGTTATGTTCGAACATCATCTACTATGTACCGATCTAGTACTTAAGTATTAATCACAAATCGTTACCGACGAAATAAAGTCAAAGTTCAAGTTAGATGCCGATTTACTACTTGAAAGTTTTTTCTAAAATCATCAAGATAAGAAAGAAGAAGAGAAACGAGCATATAATTAAAAGCCTCCCGAGAGGCAAATAAGTTCAAAAGAAACCCACCGAGGGTTCAAAGGAAGATAAAAATTACAAAATAACCCATGAAAGGGCAGTTGAGTTTGATTAAAAAGAAAAAGAGAGAGATTAAGCGGTCTTCGAAGTAGCAGCTTGGTCAGCATTGAGCATGTCTTCGTTCGAGCCGAACTGTTCGCCTACCACTGGATCCTGAGCACTTTGGGTCACGTTTACGACCGGCGCATCATCCTCTTCAGGGAATGGAGACATCCGTTTGTCTTCTTTGGTAAGGACGCAAGCATCGACCGAGCGGAAGTCCTCCAGAGCTTTAGCATGTTTCGCCTCGATGTCAGCTACCATCTCAGGCGGGACCTCGTACAAGCCTTTCTTCTTCAACTGCTTAATGAAGCCAAGAACTCCAGTAAGCTGGTTAACCACCAAGTAAGGCTTCGGGCTCGATCTGCGTCGTCCAAGCTGCGGATCACCTTCTCCAAGCGTTCGCAAACCTGTGCGTGAACGCTCCTAGCTCGACCCTTCCAGTGGGTCACCAAGGCCCGAAGTCGCTCCCGATCTTTCTCGAACTCCTGAGCAAGCATATTTTGAGCCTCGGTCAGCTCTTTTCTCACCGCTTTCAGCTCGGCACTCTCTTGCTTCAGCAGTTCAACCGAAGAATGGAGAGTGTCGTTGATTTGGAGTTCGGTGGCTAGACGCTCTTCCGCTTTGGAGACCCTCTCCTGTAGCTCGGCAATCCTAACCTGTTCGTCGTACAGCGCGACTTCATACGCTGCGACCAAGTTGTTGGTCTGACTGGCGAGCTACATGAAATAAAGTATGAGTTAGAACTCATACTTGAAGAAAATAATAAAATGAGAAGTGGAATCAGAAAGTTACCACAGCAGTTGTACGTGCGATCCCTTTGTACATATTGGGGAAGCGGAGCTCGGTGACTGCCGGCAGACTCGGAACCTGAGAAGAGATCTTATGGTAGAGCTCGGCGCAGGCATCGATGTTCTCCTCAAAAGGAGTCTCCTCATCATAGTCAAAACAGACTTTAGCCCTCTTCGCTGGCTCTGGCTCTGGAGAACCCTCGGCGCGGTCTCCGGCTTGTCTCTTTCGAGAATGAGAAGCCTCAGCTCGATCTTGAGAAAGAGCGAGGTCTGACGCCACAGCCGTTGGCGCCTCGAGCTCAGCAGGAGCGTCCTGTGCCCGAGAAGAGTCTTCAATCTTTTTAATCTTCTTTGAAGACTTCTTCTTCTTCAGCTTCTTTTGACCGGCTTGGTCAGGTGAGTTCGCAGCAGGCGGCAGCTCTTCTGGCTGCTCATTGGTCCCTTCGATAGCAGGGATGGGGGTCGGATCGGCAACGTTCGGCTCCTCTTCGTCGAACAAAGTTGGGATCTCATCCAGCGAAAGCATCCTGGCAGTTCGTGTGCGTTTGGCTTGCGACTTAGGTGCCTTTCGTCTTGGAGCAGCTCAGGGCTTGTTAGCTCTAGCTTTTGGCTTCCGTGGTTTTGGTTCTCGGACAGAAGCTGTAGTGAAAATATGTCAAGGAGGAGTCCAGAATAAACTCAAAATAAGAACATGAAAGTAAGCTGGACAATCAAACCTGCTTTCTTAGATCGGCGTTGAAGAATTTCTTCCCAAACTTCGGGCCAACGACGCTTACCGGCTTCGCTAAAAGCTGCTTCGAACTCAGAAGTAAGCTCGGAGTTGAGAATAAGACTTGGGAGATGACGGCCTGCAAAGATGGAACGAAATAAAGTTAGCAAGCAACAAAGTCAGAATTTAACTAAGTATGAGATCATCTAATCTACCAATCGGAATCTTCCACTCCGATTGAGTTGGGATGTCAGAGTTGCTGACGGTGAGATCGTTCATCTCGAGATAGAAATACAAGGATTCCCAGTCGTTGAATTTACTGGGTTTAGGCCCAGTAACTATGTTCTTCTTCGGCTTAGCGTTTGCGGCGAATAACCACTCCTTGGATTTGTGGATGTTCACCGAGAAGAGGTCCTCAAACAGTCGACTGAAGGGAATTTCACCGAGCTCATCGCACAAAGTAACGAACCCTATGTAGTTCGTTACCGAGGCTGGCATCACCTGAGTGAGAGCTACACCACGCTGATTACAGTATCCGAGGAGACAAGAGGGGATAGGAAGCGAGAGCCCGCACTGCGTGAAATAGGTCAAGTAGACGCAGAGGAACCTTCGGGCACGTCCCACGGCCGATCTCCAGCTTCGGGAATTATGAAAGTAATTTGGTCCGAGAGCCCATTTTCTTCGAGCACGGCCTGAACAGCACCCGGAGTAACGGAAGAAGATGGCACGTTGTTGGGGCGAACGATCCTTCGTCTTGGAAGCGGTGGTGAAGCATGGTTCACTGCTTCGAGGTTGTCCTCGGCATCTTCTGCTTCGTTGGCATTCTCCTCCTGATTCTCTCCTTCAGGTTCCTCGACCTCCTCGATCTCATGGTCGATACCACCAGCGTTCGGTCGAGCGCGAGCTTCCGTCTCGTGAGTTTCTGTCGTCAATTGTTCGGTAGCTTCGACTCTAGGTCTAGCACGGCTGCTGCTCGCATCAACAGACCTAGAGTTCTTGCGAACTAGTTGTGGGGGATTGCTATCTCCCTGAGACGAATTTGATAGATGAGGATTTGAGGAGGAAGAGCTCGGCTCTGAGGATTCGCGGCGATCCTCCGGAAGGATTTGATTAGAAGAAGAGTTAATTGAAGAACTGGAAGACCTTTTGAGCTCGGAAAAGTAGATTCGAAGGAGATCTAAGAGGGATGAAGAACAGTTTGAAGATCAACCGGAAAAGATTGAAGATTGATCGGAAAGTTTAAAGATCGAACGGGAAGTTTGAAGATTGATCGGAAAAATCAAGGGTTTGCGGCGGCAAAAGTTGAAGAAATGAGAGAGAACTACGAATAAAAACTAGAGAGAGAAACAAAAATCTAGAGAGAATGGAGAGCAGCGTACCTTATATATGCTTGAACGAGAGTAATGAATGCGAGAAGAAGTTTTTCCCTTATAAACAGTGGGAATCGTGGGTTCCTCGATTTTTGCAAAGATCCCGGAATTCACGCGCCTCATTGAAGACAGAGTGCGAAACGTCCGGAATACGAATCATCTGCGGTTACCGAGCTCGGTTTGTGACCTACTTAGTATCAAATGAGTTCGACTAAAAAGTCATTCCCTTTCATCGAACTGAGGGGGGGGCTAACTGTTGGAAATGAAAACCGCACCCCGGTTTTCTCCGGTACAAACCGAGATGGGCGTAATATAAGCCCGGTTTACGAAGGAATGTACCGGGAAGACTGGGCTGAGTGAAATCTTGGGCCGAACGCAGCCCATTAAGCCGAGGTCGGCGAGAAGCTTCTCGAAGGAACGGAGAAGCTCCCCGAGTTCGGTCAAAAATAGGAAAGCTTCCTATTTGAAAAAGGAAACGAACACGAGAAAAGGAAAGGAACCGAGAGAAAAGGAAAGTCCTCTCGGTCCCATATCGCCTAAGACATGTTTGAGGACCGACTTAGAGGATATATATAAAGGGAGACGAATCGACGCCAGAGAAAAAAAGGATATTCCAGAGAAGACTTAGAGACTGAGAACTCATTGCGCTAGGTTCTTAGTTTTATTAAGTCTTAGTTCGTCATTATTTACTTGATAACCGAACTCACTTGTACTCATTCGATTCGATCTAATAAAACCGAGTTTGCCGATCTAAAAGTACTATTTTACCCCTTGTTGATATTCACATATCAACACTACATAAAAAATATCTAGATTTAGTTTGGCGTTTTCAAACCCTAATAATCAAAATCAGTTGAATAGATTGAAGAAGCAGACAATTGGATACATACTTGAACGAAAACTTCTTAGAATTACTGGTCTTTCAGAAATACAAGGGAAAAGCTTTGATTTGCATGAGAAGAAGACGATGACGGAGAAGACAATGAGAAGAAGCCGGGCTCTTTTTTTTTCTTTTAAGTTATTTTTGATTTTTTTTTACCTTGGAAAGTTTTTTTTGGTTTTAATTTCAATATCTTAATTAATAATACTTAAAAAATTATTTAAATATCAAATAATTCGTTTTTAAGGGGTAAAAGAGGATTATAATTAGCATAAATACTAAAGGGACAATTGTTTTTTAAAAAAGTATTAAGGAGACAAATACCTTCATTTTTTGTTCTATATTTCCAATTTTTTCTTAAATTAAATAAAATCAGAGTTGTAGTGTTCCAAACAAAGAAACCTCAGAAAGCTAATTCTTCAATCAGATGCTCATTAAGTAATTCGAGTAATCAACTCAAACTTGGAGATTTCAGATATCCATGGAATTTTGGCGTACATTGCTATTTGTATTCCTGATTTTTGTTAAGTTTTGTGGACTTTCAAATCAAAATCAATTGGTAAAGAGTGGACTGGTCCAAGTTACCTATATATTATCCGAAATCTCTTCCAATTTTAGATGTGGGATATTCTCACATGTCCCCTCGAGATAATGGTGCGTTTAGTCATTAATCTCGACAATATCCTATTATAAAATTATTTTCGGGTAAGATCAGTCGACTAATTCAGGTCAGACCGATTTAAAATTAAGATTGGTGGGTCATTTTCGATGAATCATATCGGTTTTAGCTTAAACTGGACAGTGTGTGATCGGGTTCTGCTACCATAAAAAAATTAAGAATGCTCTGTTTATTATGTCTGTCGAAAGATTTAGTAAAATTCCTATATATCCTATACAAGGTCGGTCTATGTTCTTAAGGAGAAGGAAAGAGATATATACGATACTTATTCTCCAAGAAAATCTAATTACAAGAATAGTCCTTATTCTAATAATTCCCCTAAGATGGAGCATGTAGATCTGGAACGCCCATCTAGTCAAGTAAATACAGAAATTTGTTGCCAACCAAGAAGTTTGGTTCAGAGGTCTGAAAGTTTTTCGATAGTGCCAATGTGTTGGGTAGCGATAATGCCTTCCAAAACTACTACTTTAACAACATGCCAGTCGATCTCTATATGCTTAGTCTGCTCGTAAAAAACAGGATTAGCTGCAATATGTAAGGCACCTTTGTAATCACAATGAAAAGGCATTGGCTCAACAGGTTTAATTCCCAACGACTCCAGTAGCTCGAGCATCTACCGATGAACGCGAGACTGTATGACGGTTTTTTTAGTCTTCCATGAAACAATTGAGTCACCAAGCATGATGATGTATCCAGTTAGAGATCGTCAAGTCAGGGGATACACAGCCCAATCAGCATCGCAATAAACTGAAAAAGACAGATTATTTTTTTTTTTGAGAAAAGGGTAAAAAAAGACAGATTATTCTTCGAACTTAGAAGCACACCTTGACCAGGAGCACACTTCCAATACCAAACAACATGAATGGCGGCCTCCCAATGCTTTATACGTGGTTGCTGTAAGAACGGACCTAATATATGAACTGTATAGCTTAATTCAGAGCCTCTCTGACCTAATTGTGATCTTTTCTCAATTTTCTTTGATTCCTTGTTTTTTAGAAAATTGGTCCAATTTTTAACAATATAGAGAAAGGAAAATATTTTGCAAAAAATTTATAACATTTTTAGGGTTCAACAAGTTTTATTTCGTCCAAAGAACCTAATATGTGTTGGGATACCAAGAACAAAAAAAAAATATGCATGGTAGATATATGATGTAGCAACCTATCGTAGACAATCGTGACTCTGCGGCCATTGCCAGTAGCATGCGGCTTGCCACCCCATTGTCCATCGGATGGAGACCTACTACCTTTTTACCTTCATTCCCTTTCGAATGTGAGTTATTTGTCTTACATTTTCATCTGCTATAAAATTCCATATGTTTTAAGCTTATGTGAGTCATTTGTCTTATAAGGAAAGGAAATGCTACTAAAAGCAGCATATGTTTTAAGCTTATGAATAGATCAGTAATTTAAGATATATGGCTCAACACGGTTGTAATAATACTCACTGAATCTGCGGCATTGATATGATTGAGGCCGAACGAGTTCAGATGATAACGCCAAGAGAGAAGAAAATTTTAAACAAACAACTCACCCTTCATTTTTTTATATATGTTTTGGTGGTTATATTGTGGTATGTTATTAATTTTCGTAATAGATATGGTCAAACCAGCTGACACAGACAATCGTTCCGCAACTTTTCTCTCTGTTCTCCCTAGCCGCCGTCTTCACTTTCCCTTCGTTTTTCTTTTTTTCTTGTTTGAGCTTTTTAACTGGCTGGTAAATCGAGGTGAACCAGGATGCTCGACTTCTTCCTCTCCGTCAGGGCGTGGCGTGGAGCAATTGCCTCTTCGAAGTGGAGCTGTGTTAGTTGTGGCACAGGCGAGTACGATGTGCGACTATTTCGTTGACCCTTGCCACTAGAGGACGGCGGAAGAAATCGGAAGAAA